TCGAACCATTTAACAACACAATATAGATTACACCCATAAGATAATCAAAATGTTGCATGTTAATATATTTATCCTATTTTTAAGAAAAGAGGTTCTAGGAAAAAATTTCAAAATCTGCATGCCACTTTTTACCACAAGAATAGCCACAGTTATAAAATCAAAGGTAGAACAAATTTAATATAGCTGGGAGATAATATAGATATTTTAGCATAGTACAATAGTTTTTAATAGTTACATATTTAATAATTTAATTTATTTTAATTTGGGTTCATTGTATATATTTAAAATAATAAGGATTATGAAAAAAGAGTGTTCATGAAAATTTTTTAAATTAAAATTTCAAATAAGCAAAAAACTATTAGTTGATGTATAAGTGGGGTTGTAATTATTAAGTAGGCCCAGGCCTATTTTTAAAAAAAAAAATGAGTGTCAGTTGTTTGGACCTAATATTTTTGTAAAAAATTTGTGTTTTGAAACAATATTGATATATTTTAAAACAATTTGCCAGAAACAAGGCACCAATATTTTTTATTTTCAATTATGTTAAATGTGAAAATGTAAAACTACATTAAAGAAAAAAATTAATTTCTATATTTAAACAAATTTGGGCTGGACCAGGCTGACAAATAATTTTTATTTGGTTAGGTATTTAGGACAAATAAAAAAAATTATTCAAGATTGGGCTGGCTTGGACAATTTTTTTAAAAAAAATTCTATCTAGGGTTAAAAAATTATGCCCAGTCCAAATTACTATATGCCATATGAGATCATAATATAAAAGGTTTTTTTTAATACAAAAATTTATAAATATTGCCCAAAAGATTAATTTGTTTGCAATAAAAATACTGCCCATTTTTATTAATTTACTGCCCAAAAAAATAGATAGTTTTAAAAAATATATATATATTGTTAACTAAAAATTATTGTTATCAATTATTATATTTTGTATAATTAGCCAATTTTAATATATTTTGAACAGGCTTGTTAATCGATCCTTTTAAAAAGATCGAATCCCGATCACGATCTTTTGAAAAAAAGAGCATCGAAATCCAGGATCGACCATTTTTTAAAAAAAGGATCACGATCCTTTTCTTATTTATATTTCTGATCGATGCATAATTAACATATATAAAAAATAAATAAATATGGTATAAATTTATTGTAATTGAATAATATAATATATTTATTTATAATTAAATTAGCCTTTAATAATAAATTTTTTTCTAAATTATCAACATTTAAACAACCACGTTTTTCATTAAATACATGTTTAGTCTTATTAAACAAGCACTCCACAGGAGCGCTTGATGGTAAAGGTGTGTTATATTCAATAAATGTTTTTTTTAATTAACATAATTATTAAAATATTCACTGAATCATCATTAGAATAAAAAAAGTTATCAATGGAAAGAGCATTTTGTGACGAGTTTGTCCAAAAAAGGTATCGATCCATGCATTCATTTGAAGGATCTGCATATGGTTGACCCTGATTTTCAAAATGGGCAATTACCTTTTTTTTAGCAATAAATTTTGTGGCAGATTAATAAAAGGCCAATTGAGCTTAAATTTTGGGTGAATTATTGATGCCAATCAGGCACGTACGCAGCGGGGGGGGAGAGCAGGGGGCAAATCCCCAACCAAGCCAAAAAATGCAGATGCCGGATATATTTTTCAAAAATATTATTGTTAATATTTATTCCTATCTCATATTAAATATTTAATTACATTTATTTATCACATTCATCTACTTAGTTATTTTATCAATTAATTTCGATTTCAAGTTTTCCGGCGTGATATTTATTTAATATTCAAATTTTTAGTGGCGTAATATTTATCTACCATTTTCAAATTTCTAGTCAAATAATAATTGAAACTCCATGTCCAACAGGGAGAAAGAAATTGCAAGTTTGTCCAACGAGATAGTCTTCGCCATCAAGTAATAACCGCTTTTATGGAGTTAGAAGAGTCGATTATTTGCTATTACTGAAATATCACAATGGCCTAAGTATTTCCTCAGAAGCAAGAAAATTATTGAAATAAATGCTCATTCTAAATTTTTTTGCTGATTAGAATGTATTATTTAATTATACAACTATATATAATACTTTTCAAAAACATGACATTGACTTGATTAAGAAGATGAGAATAGCGGAGAACATTTTATTAGAACTCAAGGAAATTAGGGCTAATGTTAATTTTCATATTTATATGTTATTGTTGAGTCAACAGTAGAGTTATACGTGTCCTTCGACTTGCAGCAAGGCAAGCTCATCGTTAAAACATTAATATGGGATTAGTAGAAGAGTATTATAAAACAAATGTCCCCTCTCTTAGATATATTTATAACCCAAATAAATGAATGGTTTTTAATTCATCAAGCAGCACTTACCAATCTGCAGATATTACTTCCACAAAAGCCTTACCAACCTTTTTCAGATGGTGATAGAAAAAAAAATATTTGTTATATTATATCATGAAAATATTAAAGTATCTTATGATGCCTTATTAGCTGAATAACTATGTTTATAAAATTAACTATGGTTGATATAGCCCCAAAAAATGCTATGAATGCTTTGCATTTGTAACATTTAAATTATATTCCCAGTGTATTAAAAGGGTTTATATATATTAGCAACTCTTCCCATTAGTAAACTAATGAGAAAACATTCTCTTTTTTAAGAAGAATAACAGACCCCTGCAGAGGTAATCTGCAGAGCACGGCCTGGATTTTTTTAAAAATTTTTTATGGCCCGGCTCGAGTTTTTTTTAAATAAAATTTTCAGACCGGCCCGGATTTTTTTAAAAATTTTTTATGGCCCGGCTCGAGTTTTTTTTAAATAAAATTTTCAGGCCGGCCCGAATTTTTTTAAAATAAATTATATTTCTTTTTGATTTTTATAGCTAATAAAAACGATATCAAATATAGGCTGTTTTAAAATATGCAACCCGGCCTGGATATTTTTTTTAAAAAATTTTCAGCCCTGCCCAAGTGTATTTAAAAAATTAAAATAGTCTCTGAAAAACATACCAAGAAGTACAACTTCTGAAAGTAGATTGAAAGGTTTGGATCTTTTGAATATTCTAGGCATTTGACGACAAGCAAGGATGAGATAATTGAAAAATTAGCCCAATCCCAACGAAGATTGGATTTTACATATAAATATATAACATACAATTATTCCTAAGAAACTTTTTGTATATTAATTTATATTTCCAACATTTAAATTTTTTATGTATATAAATTATAGATTTTAAAGGCTCAAAAAATTCAAATTTCTATTTTGGGTCAATTTATAGTGGTTATATTCATTTTATATTTTATAATTCACATTTATTTTATAGTTTATCTTTACCGCCAGTTGTATCCATTTAATATTTTTATTCACAAGTTTTTTCTATATGAAATATATTTTTTTATAATTCACATTAATTTAAAATTGTGTATTAGAATTAGTTATTAGTTCTAATAAATTTATGCCTGATATTTTTAAAAAACAATAATATTTCTTAAAAAATTTTATTATCTTCCCCCCCCCAGACCAAATTCTTGTGTACGCGGCCTGATGCCAATATATTACTGTCATCAAATAGTGAAGGAATTCTATAATTTTTATGCATATTGTTATGATCTTCATAAATAATAAAAATTGCATTTTTAAAAGAATTAAATACTTCTAAATGCCTCTTTAGGTTGAACTACTAATCTTTGAAGAAAATATTTTGTTTTTGCATAAAGAGCATTTTGCATAGATCATTTTATGGTACTTTCATTTATTTCACATAAAGTAAACTACTTACATAAATTATGAAATGGTAAAAGATTCTCATTCTCACTTATATCTGCTGTCACATCAATAGAAGTAGATGTATCATCTTCTAAATCTATAATGGAGGACATTATTAAAACCTAGATTTTATATTATAATATAATTAATAAATAAATATAACTTGTTCTTACAAAAAATTTGGAAAATTGTTGAAATATAAAATCTGGTGGAATGGTTAAAATATGATGTAGATAGATTTTTTTTATAATAATATTTAAATTTAATTTTCAAAATTTTTATTTTATTTATTGCTTTTTAAGTAAAAAAATAATTTTTAAAAGGATCGGGATCAAATATTTTAAAAAAATGATCTCGATCATGATCCACAATTTAAGGTCAGGATCTTAAATCCGAGAAAATTGACAAATTTAGGATTGAATCCAGGATCAGTCATCTTTTGATTTGATCCTTTAACAACTCAGATTTTGAATATAGTAAATTTAAATATATTTTTTAAATTAAAATATATTATTATAAAATCTACATTTAATATACAAAATATAATATATGAATTATTTGACCATGTCTATAATTTAATTGTACTTAGTGAAAATGTGATGTTACTTATTTCTCTAAATCAATTTACTATCAGGATATGTATCAGAGACCTTCATTAAACTCAGTCCCTGGCAAAAATTATATAATTTTATTAATCTAAACCAAATAAAATTATTAGCTGATTTTTTTAACTAAATTTTATATTTAATCAGTTGAAAAATCATATAATGGAGTGTTTAATATTCATTCACTGCTCATATTTTCATTAAGACTATTTTAAAAATAGAGCCATAATAATTTTAAATAAAAACATTTCAAAATCCCAAAATTTGGGCTGGTGCAAAAAAATTGGACCTAAATATAAATTTTTTTCCAAATCTTGGCCATGCTTAAAATTTTAACCTCTGTAGACCTCTGACATATTGATTATTATTTCACATGGCCATAGTTTACTAAGATATATTGAGGTGGCTAGATAAAAAATTTACTACATAAAAATATTTTTTATTTATTGGAGAGGGAAGGGTCCTCATTCACCTTAATATCGTCATGATTAAATGTTATAAAAATAAATATAACTCACTTTACCCATTTTCATGAACTCAAATAGCTATTTTTATATAGTTCGTTTTTTAAATCATAAAATATTTGAAAATAAAATGTGACATAAATTACTATTTTAAATAATGCCAAGGCAGTTATGTGATAATGTCTATGAGTTTTGCCATATCTATATAGGTGTACCAAATAAAATGGGAATGAAAATAGAATATAAAAGCTAGGCAAAAATGAAAGAACAGAATCTTGAAAGCATTTAGTTAAATCTGGATATTTAGAATATATGGTGAAATTTGTATCCTATTTATAAATAATGTTTAAAATATTATCTAAAATAATAAATACCCATAATAAGGAATCACAAAACTTCATTCCTCCTATTTGCTTAGACATATCTCATCTTTTTCAAATGCAAATTATCACATTTGTAAAAAATGGTATCGTACCGTTAATTCTATTTTTAAGTTATAATTAGGTGTTTTGTCGTGATACATTACGTTATATTTTCAATACTAATGTCATTGATACGACGAGCATACCAAAATTAAGTGATGAATATTATTTATTTTATAATAAAAAATCTGAAAAAAATACTTATAAAAAATGGATATAGTTCAAAAACTATTAATAAAGCTTAAAAAAATTAGAATAATACACCTAATATATTTAATGATATTATATATCATTGTATAATCTTTCAATTTCAACCCTTCTAGGCATAGAAGTTTGATCTGTAATCTGAAATATCCCATTTCAAATAAGGGTGTATTGCAAGGGGCGAGCTAGAGTAGCAGAGCGTCTCTATGAGCTGGGAAGTCATGTAGGGTTTGCATCCAAATATTTAAGGGGGTTATACATTTAAAAATGGTAGTCTAGGGGTAAACCAGATATTGTTTAAATTTATTTAGGGAGTTATCTATTCAATTTTTAGATAAAAGGTATAACATATACCTGTAAAATATTATTAATAATTTTATTATAGACCAATTATAACAATACAATGATAATTGCTAAATATAAATTTATGTATTGCTTATAAAAATAAACATTATTTTACAGATAAAACTTATTACTGGATAATTTCCAGCTACCTTTTTAAATATACCACATCCGTTTAATATTTTTAATTCACATTTATTTTATAGTTTTATATATGCCAATTTATATATTTAATTTTTCACATTAATTTAAATTTACATATTAGAATATTAGTCCTAATAAATTTATGCTTGATATTTTTAAATAACAAAAATTTTATCTTATAAAAATTTAATAATAACTCCCCCTCTCCTCTCCAGCAACAAATTGCTGCATACGCGCCTGAATTTCAGTAATTTAACAACAATTTTTGAGGTATAACTATGTATCTCTGCATATTCTATCCACTTTGAATAGGAATCCACCACCAAAAATATGATTTTTTTTCTAGATCGAAGAAATCGATATGGAGACGTTCCCATGGTTTCTTTGATTTGGGCCACATTTGACCTACTTCTTTACAGAACATAGATTCACAGATATTATAGGGAATACATTTCCTTATAATTTTTTCAATATCATTACCTATACATACCAGGCCACCTTACATATTTCCCAAGATTTCATTTTATCCCGACCCTAATGGTATCTATGTAATAAATCAACAATTTTACTACGTAATTTAAAAGGAATTACGGTTCTATTTCTCCTTACTAAACAAACACCCACCACGGACAATTCTTTTCAATTTTTTATAAATTTTGTATTTTTCCATGGTTTTTTCCGTTAAAAATAATTTTATCTAATTCAATTATTTCTCTAAAGTATTTAACTCGATCCCAAAAGGATAAAATATCGAACAATTTTCTTTGCCTTGAAGATATATAATTTCTACATTGAAACTTCCTACTAATAACAACCAATGTTGTAATCGTGGAGATAACAATAATTATCAATTATTCTTTTTGAATAAAGTAATTAATGGTTTATGATCGGCGTAAATTACAAATTTTTTCCGATTAAATATTCGCGACAGGTTAAACCAAAAATGACGGCTAGTGATTCCTTTACAATAACAGAATATCGCGTTTCCACTTCTCTGAAAACTCTTGAAAAAATTAATATTGGTCTTTCCAAATCATCAATTAAAAGATAATTGTACCCCCCCCCCCTACACATTTGTTAGATGTTACATCAAATTTATTTGTATTGATGCCTGATTTTTTCTCACAATGGAATTTTCTAATACGGATATTCTAAAGGGAAAACCCATCCGTAAATTCTATTCCTTCACCATATGAGTTTCAACCTTTTGTCCTTAATAACCACAACGGTTACATGTAATATTATTCAAAATATTTTCTGTATCAATATTTTAACCAAATATTTTATCTTTTGAAAAACCATTTTTTATTCAAACCATTTGCACATATCTGGCTTTTATCACAATTATTATTCATATTAAAATTTTGATTATATCTTTCACTTCTTTTACTTCTTGGAGGATAACCACTGGTCTCATCGCACATTCCGGAATATCGCACGGATTATCCTTTATATTATTCTGATTTATCCTTCTTAATTTCATTTAAAACTCTTTTAAAGTAAAATATTCAATAATTATCTGACACCACAGTGTCTTTCTTTAGATTATTATCTACCTTTGTTTCTATATCGGTTCGGTACATTTACTTATCAGAAATTTTAATGTAATGAATAGCACATATATTATTACAAATAATAATATCGTAACTAACTGATTACTTATATTTAATTGGTTAAGTTCTTTATACAAAATTTGATAACCAAAATCCTTATAAATAAAAACTTTATCAAAAATATTAGGCCTATGATAATTATCAAAATACAAACCCATTTCATCTATATTATAATTTTCCGATGTCCTCATTAAGTCATCGTGACGTCATGTCATCGCTACGTATTTATTATTATTTGTTGATTTTATTATTTTTTTCTCTATACAAACAGATGATCCTATAACTTAAGTTTAATATGCAATTGTAGGATGCCTTATTAAAACCTTAAATATTCTTATAATTTATCATTACAAAATTTTACATTGGATGTCAAAGTAATACATTAAATATATCTATTTACAAAATATTACAAATTATTAATATTTTATATAGATATATGATTTATAAAATCAAAATATAATTATAACTATTGAACAAGGAAAAATTCAATTTAACTTGTACGTCAGAGATAAGAATTGTTGCAGTGAACACAATTTCAATCCATATTTTTTTCCATAACTTAATTTTTGGAGTTATCTCCAATAATACGAGGTAATATTTGTTATTTCTTATAATAATATTAGGGCAGACCTTATTTTGTCATGATTCTCTAATAAGTGGTTTTCCCGAGGCTTTCCCAGTTTCCCTTATTACGAATTCACAAGTTTTTTTTGCATATATAACTAGGAGTTAACTAATAGACTAATTGTTAAATCAGAGATTTCCCATTCATTAATTATAAATTTAATATCTCCAGGCTTGGGAAAATTTTTTCAAAATTATTATGTATTGGACTGGGCTTAAAAAATATTTTTCAAAATTAATATTGGCTTGATTTTCAAAATTATTAGGGATTGAGGTGGGCTTGAGAAAATTTTTTTAAATTATTAAGATCTTGGATGCTTGGAAATTTTTCCCAATAGTACAAAAAATGTATAAAAATCATTAAGCATTATTACTCAAGAAGCTGCTATTAGTGAAAATAATTATAAATGTACATAATATTTTCATTATATCATTATATTACAATTTCATGCAAGAATTGGATATCAAAATAATACATTAAATATATCCTATTTATAAAATATTACAAATTATTCATATTATCATTAATATTTTATACATTTACTCAATAAAATACCAACAGTCTAAATTTATTTTTAAAATAGTATTTTTTTATAAAAGCATTTTATAAATTTATAAAATCAAAATATAATTATTTTTCTAACCTTATTTTCTATACTTTTTTTCTTGGATTTTCTGAGAGTCAAATACAAAATATTTTTTAACACTTCTTTATTTTTCTTTATTATATATATTTTTCGTGATTTTACAACAAAAAAGAATAATCAATAAACACCGATTTTTACAAAATATAATATATTTCTTTTTTAATATTATTTTTTTATCAATATTATATTTTTTATCAATTATTTTTTATATAATAAATAAATATTTATTATAATACAACATGTACCCCTTTTTCAAGGTACTACATGAACATGCCACATTTAACCGTAACTATAATTTAAGAATATATTTTTTTTAGATTCTTTTGATTCAAAACTTCGCATCATTGAAATTCTCTTGATATCGACGTTGAGGGAAACTTCATATCTTTGATATTTTCTTGATATTATTGTATCGTTCCTTTCTGACGTATACGACGATTTGATAATTGATTAAACGATTGTTTTGGTTGTTATCAAAAATTATCCTGATTAATGAGTCATAGCTTGATTTATCCATTGTATCATTGGTCAGTCATGATCATTCTATTTTAAGCTTGGTATCCTTATCCAGCATTGTTGATTATCATTAAATTATGGTTAATGTATCATAGATCTATTGCATCATTGTAATTTATTGAGTGAGCATCATTGTAATTTATTGAGTTGATTACACAGAATATTACACAAAGTAAGTCAGATCTATTGCGTCATTGTAATTTATTGAGTTGATTACACAGGATATTACACACAGTAAGCAAGTCAAATATTTTTCTTAATATCTTTAACAACATATTCACAATACCCCTTTTTCTTTTTACATAAGGAACCATTACACAAAACAACAACCTTATTATTTTCTTTTTATTATTTTTTATTCTCTTACCCTTATATTTCCAATGATTTCTCTATTTCACTACCAGTTGTTTTTTCGCAATTAACGTTTCTTCTCTTCTCAATACCGCTTACAATTTTTATAATCTTCTAATTTTACTTTTTAATTCTTTAATAATTAACTATTTTTTATAACAAACAACTTTATATTAACGAACTTATTTCCCAACTCCTATAAACATTATATTTTCCAACTTTCTTTTACCAACTATAAATAACAAAATATAATATGACCCACATATTATACATTAATATAACATTTTTTAAAAAGCATAAAACAACTGCACGTCTGCATCTAATTTTTACAATTTTCTCATTAACAATAACAATCAAATTTTGCAATATTAAAATTTAAATTCCAAACGACTATCAAATTTTCAACTCATCTAGCATTTTATAATAGAACTAATTAATCCATAACCATTTTACCCCATAAAAATTTCAGAATATATTATTCCACAATTCCCTCAGATAACAAGCATTTTACAATCAACAATTGGACTAAGCCATCCAATTTATCTAACAATTTACAATTGGAATAAGCGATCCC